AATAAAATTTTATTGCAACACAGCCACCCCCATTCATTTATGAATCTATGGCTGTTTTTGTGCTGCAGTAGCAGAGTTGAGTAGTTGTAACAGACATCTGGCCCACAAAACCGAAAGTATTTACTCTTTGGCCCTTTACAGAAAAAGTCTGCCTATTACTGGTTTAGGGCAGTGTTTCATACTCTGCGTGAGAATGACCGGGCCTCACCCAAAACCTAGAATAGACTCCTGGAGGAAGAATACTAAGAATGCATTGTAAACAAGCTCTCTGAGTGATTCTAATACTTCCTAAAGGTTACGAACTTTGGCTCAGAGACTTAAACTCAGCTGGAATGGAGATCCTGCCCCAGGGAGAGCTGGTTCTCAAGAGTTTCTTCTGAACAGTTGAGAAGCCAAGCAGTGATACTCATTTAAATAATTGGCCTGCCTTCTGAAGCATTCTCAGCCTTCTTGGACATAGTTATCACTCTCACCAGTATTTAGTAATAATTAAAACTGACAATTATTGAACTCCTACTCTGTCTAGGCCTTATAAGCATTATTTCATTGACTCCTTGCAACAGACCCAGGAAGTAGGTGCTATACTATTGTTCTCAGTTTGCAGATCAGGACACTGAGGATCAGAGAGGTTAAACAATTTGCCTAAGGTCACACAGCCATCTTATTCCCCAGGGTGAACCATGCTCTTAGCTACTGTTCTTAACTCTTAACTACTCTGACCTTGCTGTCAGTGAAATCTGATGTCACCTAATGATGATTCGAGCCTGACCTTGAAGAGTTTCTAGGTCAAACAAGGCCTAGAGGCAGCTAGTGGTAGTGTTGTCCTTGGCACTTGAAATGCTGTGACCTCTGCTATTCATTACAGGCTTTGGATTTATTCATATTAAAAGGGAAGAGAGGATGGTATAACAGGATTAAGCCCATTGCACCTTGATGGCGCTGGTGAAGAAATGTCACTTGTAGTGGGAGGATTTATTGGGGTCCTTCCTGAAGCGTGGAGTTTTACATGAAGGAATTCTCCAAATCACTGAAGATTACTACTTTGTGTACTGGAACTTGTTACATTTGAAACCTCTTTGACAGAAACCTTTTAAAAAGGTATGCTTTTAAACTGTATTATACCCAGCTGTACTTTCTTCAGTAGGGTTTTCCTAGCAGGCCCAAGAGGCAGTGCTGCCTGTCAACATAAGAAAGAAATGGAGACAGAAATATACGAGTCTATAAACAATGAGTTTATTTGGGCCAAGGTTGAGGACTGCAGACTGGGAAACAGAAATCCAAGTTGTTTTGGATATGTGCTCCACCTGGCAGTAGTTGTAATCAGATTTTTCATTTTCATTCATTTATTCGTTTATTTATTTTGTTTTTGGGTTTTTTTTTCTGTAATCAGATTTTTCAAGGGAGAGAAGGAGAAGTTAGGGGGGCACTTCCAAAGTTATTTGCCAAGAATTTACATTGGTTCACTAAAATAACATGAGGGGGCTGACCAGTTAGCTCAGTTGATTAGAATGCAGTGTTATAACACCAAGGTCAAGGATTCGGATCCCCATAGCGGACAGCTGCCACACACACAAAAATAATAAAAATTTAAAAAGAGTAACATGAGGGCCGGCCTGTGGCTCCCTTGGAAGAGTGTGGTGCTGATAACACCAAGGCCAAGGGTTCGGATCCCTATATAGGGATGGCCGGTTAGCTCACTTGAGAGAGTGTG